CTTTGCCTCAAGAGCATCCCATAACTCTTTGTCTGATGTGCAAGATATGTAGTTTTTCTCATACTAGGGATGAAGTGCACTAATCACGGCGTCTCGAAACAGGTTATCGGCAGCCAAGAACTTTCGCTCCTCCTCAGGAGTGAACTGTTCATGCTTCCCCTGTGCGGCGTGATAGCAGTTCATCGCAGTCAACCACAATACCATCTTTGCACGCCATATCATAAAATTCTTGCCATCAAAATTATTCGGCTTCAAAGCAGCAGCAAATCGACTGACAGAAAATTGCCTATTATTAGGTTTTTGGATTGTTAGAAATTTAGGCATTTTTATTATCAGTTTAATCTAGAAATATAACATCAGCAAGTTTGTGACGGCATATATGTGCATGTGTATATTTCTTATGAACGCTACAGCATGCATAGATGACATACAGATCGATACAGTAAAGACACAAAATACAGTAATCAGAGAGATTAGACTGTACCCAGTGGAGGGTCCCATGCCGAGGGCATCGGAGGCTCCATTCGCACTAGTCGACATAGTGCGTTGCTCGAAGTCGCGGACCACAGTCGATGCAGGAAGATGTTCGCAATGCAGTCCTATGAACGGATCACCAGGAAGAAGACGCATTGACGTTTCAGAGAGAAGACGGATCCGAGAGCGATCTCCAGTAGGAAGAAGATGGACGAGCAGTCGCGGATCAGTCCCCAAAAACCTAATCGCCGCTCACCCCGTGTAGGATTCTCAGACGGACAGTGGTTCCGGAGACACCTGCTCTCCCGTTACTCCGTGCGCGTAGAGGTACGGGACGGGGAAGTCAGAAGGCTGCTGATCTGTGGCCGCCTGCCTGCCTCGCCACGGCCACGGCCCGGCCTGGCCGGCGGCGGCGGTGTCGCGCACGCGTGGCACGCCTTTATCTTTTTCTCAGCTTCTCAATTTAGATGAATAATTTCTAGCTATATAAGCTGAGTCAGCGTTCAGTCAAAATCCCGTATGGTATTAAGCCATACAACACTTAATGTTACGTACCATAAAGTTTTATTTGATTTATTAAATATTATATGGGCCAAGCCTATATTATATCCAACAACTTCTGCCTTGGCGCTGAATGGATGGGGCGGCACCATGCAGCTCACATGGCCATGGAGAAGACAAGGAAGAAGCACTGGAGGGAAAAGGGGGCTTTATTGTAGGACTCACCTCGTCATTTTGAAAGAAGCTCCCTCCGGCCACCATGGCCGCAAGAAGTCTGCCCACCTCCAAGAAGACGATGGTGTGGAGGACTGAAGTCCTCAAAACACCCATCTAGGGGCTTATTCCACTAAGGAAACTCTGCTGAAAGGGAGAGGGGCCTGGCTCACCTACTCTTGACGCCGGCGGGCTCGCCGGAGAAGAGGAGTAGGGGGCCGGTGCTGGAAGCCACTCGGGCTCTCAGCTCACACAGAGGCTCACTCGGCAGGCTGAGAGGAGATGGTGAACAACTGTTCTGCCCATCCCCTTCAAAATGATAATAAGAATCTACTAAATAGATAACTAAACATTTCTGATTTTATGACAATTTTTAGAATTTATATTTTTTTTATGTTGCGCCTCCGGTTAAGTTAAAAAAAATAGTAGCATAAGATTGTCGCCATACAAAATGGTATATATATTGATGAGTAACGTTGCACGTGGCCTGGTTGGCAATCAAGTACAGGTGTCTGTTGTCAAAGTTTCCTAAGGTATGCTAGCTTCATATACCATTTTGGTTTATGCTAATTTATTATATAAGTAAAACACTGTTTATTCACTGAAAAATACCGGTAAAATAGTGCTGAACAGGACGACAGACCACCACCTAAACACAGATCGCAACCTTGCAATGCAAGTTGAAACACGACAGGAAACTAAACCTGCTGCTGCATTTCTTTTTCTTTTTGGAAAAGGACCAGAAACCTGCGATCTCGATGGAAGCTGCAACTGCAATGAAGCCCATTCTCCTCTTCTTGCTGACCTTCCGGCTGCTGCTCTCCAGCTTCTCCCTTTCGATCCAAACCCAGTACACCTCGATCTTCAGCTTCGGCGATTCCTTCACCGACACCGGCAACTTCGCCATCATCGCCGGCCCGACGACGCCAGGCCTGCTCATCACCAAACCACCGTACGGGATGACCTTCTTCGGCCACCCCACCGGCCGCATCTCTGATGGTAGATTGGCTATCGATTTCATCGGTAAGTTCCCTTATTTCGTTTCAGCACCGAGGCCACGTCGACTTACGCGCTTAACGTGCACGTACGCGCAGCTGAAGCCCTGGGGTTCCCGCTCCTGCCGCCGTCGATGGCAGCGAACCAGAGCTTCAAGCAAGGCGCAAACTTCGCGGTGGCCGGAGCCACGGCGCTGGACCGAGCGTTCTTCGTGAACGACGGCGACACAGCTGTTACGCCGTACAACATCTCCGTCGGCGACCAGCTCGGGTGGTTTGACGCCATGAAGCCCTCGCTCTGCGATTTCGTCGTCGGGGAGTTCGGTTGGAACGACTATATACGGGTTCATGCTGCTCGCTCGCAAAAGCGTTGACGAAGTGCGGTCTCACGTGCCCGAGGTCGTCGGGACGATTTGCGCAGCCACGGAGGTACGCGACCGAATCAAGCAAGGCGTGCGTGATCGAGCGAAGACAGTTCGTCTGATCCATGGCTGCGTGCGCAGAGACTGCTCGTCTCAGGCGGCAAGACGGTGGTGGTGTCGGGGCTGACACCGATGGGGTGCACGACGCGGAACCTCGTGCTCTTCGCGGGCAAGAGCGCCGACGACTACGAGCCGGCGACGGGGTGCCTCAAGGACCTGAACCAGCTGTCAAAGGAGCACAACCTGCAGCTCCATCAGGCGCTGGAGCGGCTTCGGGCCACGCACCCCGGCGCGTGAGGCTCATCTACGCCGACTTCTACGCTCCCATCGTTGACTTCGCGACGTCTCCCGATCGCTACGGGTTCAACGGCACCGACGGCGCGCTGAACGCTTGCTGCGGCGGCGGCGGGCGGTACAACTTCAACCTCACCGCGGCGTGCGGCATGCCCGGCGTGAGCGCGTGCTCTGACCCGTCGGCGTACGTGAACTGGGACGGCATCCACCTCACCGAGGCGGCGAACCGCCGCGTCGCCGATGGCTGGCTCAGTGGCCCTACGCTCACCCGCCCATCCTCGACACCTCACGGCTGCCTTTTTCTTTCTTTTGGAATGGACCGGTGCGTTTTCTCATAAAATCTGCATGGGGCAACCAGCATCCAGCAATCTGGGGCGTGTTTGGGAGGGTGGCTGAGGCCGGCTTGGCCCGCCCGCCTGACCCAGGTCAGTCCAGGCATGCCTCAAGTGGTACAACAGTTTTTATTTGACATCCAGTGTGAAACGAGCCATGTTCACTTGAGATTGTGTTTGTTTGCACACATGCAGCCAGGCTGAGGAGCCAACTAACTCTAACTGTCAAACCGAGATTATGTTTGGTTGTTGGTTGCCTCGGCCAGGGCCATAATCAGGATGCATAAATGCAGTTATAGCAATGAAATGAGCAATAGTTTGAGATCCATTGCAACGGGTTTGACCAAATTAACCATACAATTAGTGCGGTTAACAACACTAGACCTCAGACAAGTTAACCATGGAGTCATAGCTACTCTAACTTTATAAAAGTACCGATGAAGCAAGATAAAATAACAACATCAACAACCTAATCAATAAGTAGCAGTCCTTGAACAATACATAGGAGATATGTAACAAAAATGGATGACATAAATTAGTAAGACACAGCAGCAGCTCATCCATCATCTAGTTGTAGTCATCACAGGCCTAAGTGGAGCAATCGTAGCAGTCAGTATTGCCCCCCTTCATCCATAGTCCAAACAACAAGATAACAAGTGAGGTGATTAACACCTTCTTCCACCAACCAGCTTTATCATTACCATCAGAAGGAGCAATGATTGGAGCAAAAGCATCACCAGGAACCGGATCATAGGGGAGGGGAGCTGCTGTTCCATGAGATGGATTGACATCTCTCATTGCTATCTGAAAATCTCTGACAACCTACTCATAGTTGCTATACTTCTTGTATATAGCATTTTTAACCCCAAGAACTTGCTTACTGCACTAATGCCAAGTCAGGTAAATCCCTAGAGTCTTCCCATATAAAACCACATAGCAAGTTGCCATTTCTATAAAATGAAACAATGGTTTAGCCTCAGTCAAATGTAATGCATGAAACTAGCCATGAGTGCGAAACTTGAAGATCTACGGTTTGCGATAAAACAAATTGTTGATCTTAAGTCCCTCACTGATGACCAGCATCAAGTTCAAATCAACAGTTATGACATCACAGGCATTGTAAGAAAAGATTGACCTCAGCTTTAGAATCTGATGGTGTTCATCAAGTTGAAATCATTGGTGGCTGCCATACAAATAAAAAACCAGTAGAACAGCAAGTTACAAACTACAGACAATAGAAAAACCAAACAAGTGCAAATCCAAGGTCATAGCTGCTATGGAACCCTAGTGTGCACATGCATTCACTGCCATCAGCATAAGATAGAAGGTGTTGTTGCTAAGGGAATGGACCAAGTAAACAAGGCAGCCACCTCATGTATATGTTGTTTGCATCATAGGCCTTATAGATTTCCCACAGTTACCACCAATCAAAAGAAATAAAACCAATAGTTCATAAGTAAGAGAATAAGGAATGACCGATCTCAAATAAAGAAGCCAACAAAGGCTACAAATAGTGCCTTACAACATGATTGTTATGTCCAACAGTTCTGGGCTCAAATGCCTACCATGGTGCCCAGTAGCACAAATAGTTAGCCACCCTTCCAGTAAACAAAGCAAAAGGACAGGTGTAAGTTAGCTAAGTAAGCTGCACAAAATACCTACATCTCAACTATAGTCAAAAGAAGAGAGAGTGGGTGAGGGAGGTGGAGGAACTATACATCTCTACAGTCAACCCCCTCAATGCACATGCTTGCCAACATGTACAGGAACTACATGTAGTAGTTCTTGGCTAGGCAGTTCCTGAGCCAAATGTCTCTATGGCTGTTACTCATGCCAACAAAGCCCCTGCCTTGGACCTTGTTGTCCAACAGGTAGGTGTAGGCAACTATCAGTGCCTCCTCAATAAAACTAGGCATCTCCATCACAACAAGGTAGAGGTCAGCATCAACATGGGCTGGTCCAGTCTCCCTAAGAGCATTGGCAACATTGTTCACAACGTTAGACATATTGGTCAACATAAGCATCTCATCCTCATGGAAGTTGCCTCTCTTCCTCTTTCCACCTACAGCTGAGGAGAGGAGCTCGTTGCCTTGCTGCTGCATCCTACATCAGTGTGGGCCTTCTCAGCAGGCACATGGGTAGAGGAAGGATCCTCTACCTTAGCAGCAACACTGTCAGCCTAGTTGGGCCCTAGGGCTTCACTAGAAGCAAGTGCAAACCTACCAGTGGCCATAGCATGACCAAAGATGGACTCCACTCAGTGTAGAATCTTATAGGGCAGTTTAGAAATTCTACATCTTTAGGATGGTCTTGCATTAAGGGGGGAGGGAGGAGGGGTATAGTTTTAGACAAGTAATTGAAAGACAGGTACAAGGAGACATAGGAAAGAAATCAAAGTTCTACCTTGCAGTGCCCAAGGTAGTGCTCTTGCTCAAGCATGATAGCATTGGTGTCACTATCCCATAGTGCCCCACTTAGGTCCTTGAGCTTACAGACCCTAGACCACTTCTGCCTCCACTTCCTCAGGTGGTTGTACACCTAAGTTAGGCTCACTGTCTCCTCACTGTACTCCTTAAGGGCTTTGGCAACATGGTTAACATCCTTATCCTTGAAGACTTTGTCAGGCCTACCACCATCACTAACAAGCTGAGCCATCCTCCTAAGGACAAAGCCAGAGGTGTTGTTGTTCCACCACATGGCCCTAGGACCCCCTGCACCAGCACCGACAGCACCATCACATGCTGCTGCAACAGCAGCACCAGCAGCACCAATACCAGCTGTAGCTGCTGCACTAGCACCAGCTGCAACAGCAGCAGCAATAGCACCGCAGCCCATTGACTACATCAGAAATAGCCACAAACCCACCCTGGGCACCAAGCACATCAACTGGGAGTGGAGCCATCCTATTTGGTATTCCAATTAGAAAGTAGGAGAATAATATCAGAATCATATGTACACATAAGTTGTGTCCATGGAACACATCCATGCAACAACAACAGCATAATTCATCTATGCTGCTACCACTGTATGGCTGAGTTTCATGGCCAGAGACCATGAAACAGTGACAGATGATGAAATGTGAACACGAACCAAACAATAAACAATTGAGTGGGATAAAAACTTGGTCTCAGGCTTGTCCAACAAATTATTACATAAACATCACACAAACATGAGTTCCATAGCAAGGTAAACAAACTAAATTTAATGACAAAGTTACTGCATGATCAGATCCTAGAGGTACCCCTCCCTTCCCACATAGCATTAAAGATGGCATCCCTCCTAAGTGCTATGGCATTGGAGTCTTGGAACTGGCTCTCATTATTGGACAGGTTATCAAGTGGGTCAGGTTGCCTGCCAGTGAAACCCTCCTCAGGTAGCACAACTTTGTTAATACCAAAACCTAGGATCTAATTGTGCAGAATACAGTAGGCCAATACAAGCTTGACCTGAGTCTTGTATGGGTGAAAGGGCTTGTTATCTAGGATACGAAACATATTCTTCAGTGCACCAAAAGCCCTCTACACAGTGACCCTTAGTGATGAGTGCCTTAGGTTGAAAAGCTCCCTTGCATTGGTTGGGTGGTTTCTGCTCCCAAACTCAGTCAAGTGGTACCTGACGCCCCTGTAGGGGGGTAGGAAGCCATTGCGGCATGCATAGCCAGCATCTACTAGGTAGAATTTACCTACAATTGGACATCTATTGTGAGTGTGTGTGCTATTGTTAAGGACATAAGTGCATTGACTATGTAGTGTAGTTACCTTCAAGTACAATGAACCCATCATTCCTCTCTATGGCATCAGCTAGGATAAGTGCATCATGGGCAGAGCCCTCCCAGCCAGCAAGGACATATGTGAACTTGAGATCAAAGTCCACAGCAGTCATGACATTTTGTGTGGGGTTGTGTTTCCTACCCCTGGAAGTAGCCTGCATGTGTCTAGGCACCCCTGCCAACACATGGGTGCCATCAATGGCACCAATGCAGTCCTAAAAACCATGGAAGTGAGATAATAGTACATGTGAATATGCACATCTACCTAATGAAGGAACTTGTGCTTCACAATTACATTCAAGAATGGATTCCATCTATGGCTTCCAAGTACCTTTGGGTGAATGGCAGTGCTAGTTGGCTTGATCATCTCATTCCTAAACTCACCAACAGCATACAAAACCTGGTGGAAGTGTCTGTGCACTATCTCAATGGACCTCCTAAATGACTGGTGGACAACTCTAAATCTTTGGTTGCGACCAACCACATGAAGGAACATTGCAACCTGCTCCTCAACTATGACCCCCTCTCTTTCAGACACTAGGCTCCTAGCTCTAAACAGATTGCATAAAGCAAAAAAAGGTGCTCTGGTCATCCTAAGCATGGATAGGCACTCTCCATCATTGGAGTTATAGATCAGGTTTAGAGTCTGCTACCTGTGCTGTTCAGCTTCATCCCTAAGTGCATACACTAGAGGGTCAGTGTAACACCCTCGGTGTTACGCCCTAAACAAATTACCAAACCATGTCACGAGCATCATGTTTATATGATAATGCATGTGATAGAAGGTGTAGATAACATTTTTGTAGCTTCAGATGATCAATAAAAATGTTAAATGATAAGCTATTCCATAACTCATATGTGTCAAGTAGGGTTTAAAACTATTTTTATTGAATAAAAATACTATAGAACATATATGTGGCGCTAAATAAAGTTTGGAATATGAACTTTGTAGATGACAATGAAATACTTGCTGTAGAAAAATAACATTGCTAGCCAACGTTTCTAATAGCCTAGAAATGCAACTTGTAATCAAATTCAGCTCATAGACTTAGAAGATTTGTAAGTATATAGACAGCTAGACAATGCCATGTTTGGCAATTTATTTTGTGAAATCGGGTTAAGAATAGGTGTTATGTTTTAGCTCGGTTTGGTAGCCTCATATGCCATCATGAGCATGGTGAAGATGGTTTAGGTCTAGAAGCAACTGTTTAGTTGTTATAGGTGCTTTAAAATGCGCGCACGACACGTTCTTGGGTTGGCTAGGTGGACGCGGTCACCACGCTTGGGTGCACGCCGTCGCCGCGCTGGTCGCTCGTGCGTGCGCGCGCTACCACACGTGGCCGGCCACGGCTGCCTCTGGCCTAGTCGCCACTGGCCTCTACCGCGCGGAGCCGCCGCTGCTGCTTGCGAGGCCGTGCGGCGCTGCTAGCTGTCCCACTGCGCTGCCACACTATCGACCTGCCCGCGCTGCAACGCTGTCGCTGCCGGTGCCGCCGCCTCACCATCATGTTCGTGCTTCTCTCTATACCTCTACGCCGCTGCTGGCCGTTGCCTTTCCATTTATGGCACCACGCCGCGTAGGCCATGGCTGGTCGAGGACATGTGCGCTTGTCCTTTGCGTCTATGCGTATGCCTTCCCGATCGTGCCGAGCATGTCCCGCCAAGGCGAGGTCATGCTGTGCCACCTACCGGCCCGTCTCTCTCTCTCTCTGCTACCACCGTCGGAGTCGTGCCCACGCAATTGACCTACGAGTGGTCATCTCCTTTCAATTCCACGCGCTAGTGTCTCCGCCATCAAGTCCTCTTGCTGCCCGACCCCAACCCACCTCGGATGGCACCCGGTAGAGCTCCAATTTGGCATTTTTCCCGCCGCCGTGCCGATAAGGCCGCGTCCGGCCGTGGACGAGGGCAGCCCTCCTAGCGTCCCTCCCGAGCCAATTCACCAGCACCACTAGTTTCACCTTGCCTCCCTCTCCACCTGGAGCACGCCAGTGGAACCGCTATCGCCTCCCCATCATCGCTAATGTGACCGCGCCACCGCGGTGCACCACCGCACGGCTCGGCCGCACGTGGCCACACCTCCTCCGCCATCCTCCACCCCAACCGTCACCTCGGCTAGGTCCACGGTAGTCTACTGATGCTCCCTCGCTAGCCAGTTAGATTCTTTTTCATAAGGAATTAGCAATGGTTTCCTAATTTAATTTTTGAGCTGATCTTTGGTAAATCATATAAAATCATGTAGGTGTCCAAAAATTGTAAAACAAAATTTGTTAGGTTCCTAAAATTGTGCTCTATCGATTGGTGTATTTAGTTCATGTTATACGTGTTGACATTAGGAGTTATTAAATCATTTGAAGATGCTTAATAATATTAAGTTAATTATTGTAGGAATTTTTGTGGTAAATTGGTGATAGTTTTAGTCCTAAAATTTTTATAGTAGCTTCATTGTATTATTATGTGCTCACTGTAATTTTTGTAGCCTTAGAATAGACTAAGCATTAGGGTAGTTAAATGCTCTTTGTTTCAATATACATTAAAACATTAGTAGAAATAAAGATATACCCTTAAATTGCAAAACTGAGTGTTTGTTAGTTGAATCCAACACCTTGCTTGATGAAGATTATAGTTAGCTTAGTATCTTAGTCATTAGAGCTAGTTTAGTAGCTTGGTATGCGCATTCTTAGTTTAAGAGTTGCTATTGCCTAAATGATAAGTGTTGCATCATCATCACATGCATGTAGAGAACGAGTTGGCGGAGATCGTCAAGGAGTATGAGGAGAAGATTCTCATGCTGGAAGAGGTCCCAGAGCCGCCACTAACTGACTTAGCTGACACCGTGCCTGCCCAAGGCAAGCCCCGGTGCATAACCTCTATTTTATAATTCACCGTATATAAATGTGTTGTGCATTTATGTTACAGGAATTTTATGAAAACCACATGCATAGATACACCTATCCTAAGAGTCTTATTAGTGCATGTTCGAGGAGATGCTATGCTTAGGTCATCGGTAGCATGAGTAACCTGCCGTTGCTCACAATAGGGGATTATTATTACTCTCATAATAAAATGATGAAATGAAAAATGGAGACAGAGTAGGGATATGGTATGGGTATTGGTGGGTGTAACAGGTTGTGTTCCGCGGCCAACGGGGCTTAGCTTGGTTACACTATTTTCCCTGTTCATGTCGACTAAAGACTGTCCGTTATTGTGGATGGTAGTCAGGTCACAAACTTATTATCCTGAGCAAATACTTGCTTATGGGAGCGAGAAGGCTCGTTACGCTCTTGTCGTGGGTTCTGACTCTTTCCAGATCGACTAATTGGAGGCGCGGAAAGGTGGAGGTCTAAGCACCATGCTGAGACCAGATCTCAAGTGTAGGGGCTTGGAGTCCAAGTTTGAACAGGGACCTAGACCCCGTGACAGGAGTGGAATGGGTTGGTCTTGTTTGTGCCTGGGGGTACAAACAGGGCCTATGTTTTGGGGTACCCAGCTGGGATACGTTCGTTCATGAATCGCCGTTTCTGTGAGACGGTACGACTTGGCTATGGTCTAGCACCGTAGTAAGAACTGAAAGATGAAAGATGGTGAAATGGTTCTGATTGCTTAACCCTTGCTTGAAAGTAGAACATGTGCTTACTTAGAATGGTTAGTTAACGAAGTAATCATGACTGCTAATAAAACATGATCTTAAGGATGTACTGTTAGTAATGCTTTTCGCAAACAAAAAGAAAACAACAAACCCATGTTGCCTATCATATCCTTGAGAATCGAAAACTATTCCCACTAGTCGGGTAAGTCTTGTGAGTATATTGTGTACTCAGGGTTTATTTTACCCCTGTTGCAGGTGCAGCTTGAGGAGTAGCTCTTGTGTGGAGGATTATTCTGGTCGGCACAGACGGATCCTTGTATCGTTTTCGCTAGATGTTTATTTTCATTCCGCTGTGTAATTATCGCACTCTGAACTCTGGTATTATAATAAATAATTTCCAAGGACTCTTGTTATATCAAATGGACTAAGTATTGTAAGCTCAAACTCATTATTAGATTCTGGATGTAAAACATGGAT